GGTCTAGCCTGGTACTGCTGACTGAACTTAGGCCTAGCCTTGAAGTTCTGTCTTACCTTTGGTCTAGATTGAATGTTCTGTTGCTTCTTGGCTTAACAAAAACATTGTTAGAGCAAGCAGTATGTTTATACATTTGAGAATACTCATAACCAAAATTATTACCCAGAGGTTTAGCTTTGAAAACAGCTTTGACCCAGGATATTGGTTTATGCTTTTCAGCAGCAACAACATAACCAATACCACTTCTTCCTTTCTGGCCAGCACCATAGATCATAGAAGCCATCTTGCTCTGATCTATGTTGTTAGCTAAAAATCTTTGAAAGCTAATATCATACTCTTTGAGTATGTCTTTAGAAGAAGAAGTATCTTCTGAGCTAGAAAGGTTTTTCAGAGTTTGTAAATCCTCTGACAGTTTTGAAATTTTTCCTTTTAGCTCAGAGTTTTCATTTTTGAGCCTTGAAATCTCAGCAGTGGGTTCTTTTTGAAGAACCTTGCATTTCATTTTTAAATTGCTGTAACTTTCAAGAAGTTCAGCCAAAGAGCTTTCAAGCTCTCCTCTGGTGAAGTCAGAAAATACCTGGAGTTCTTCACAGTCAGAGTCAGAATCTAATTCTTCTGATTGAGTGGCCATGAGTGCCACATCAGCTTGTTCATCTTCTGTTATGCTCTCAGCATCAGATGATTCACAGTCATCCCATGCAACAAGTAGCTCTTCCTCTGAGTCATATTCTTCAGAGTTTTCTTCTTTTGTTGGAGCCTTTTCTTCATGAGTCCTTCTGAGAAACTCAAAGATGTCATGTGCTGACTCTTTAATACTCATGCTCATGTTTTCACAATCCATTCTGGATATAGCACTCAGCATAATATTTCTGGCTCTGTGATGATTTTGAAGATTTATCTTTTGTTGATCATCCATAGCCTTCCTCTCAATTCTGCTTCCAGATTTGTCAACTGGATGTGTATAACCATCAGTTATAACATCCCACAAGTCAGCATCATATCCCAAGCAGAAACTCTCCAGTCTATCTTTCCAATAGCTTAAGTCTTCTCCATCAAATATGGGAGGCATAGCAAAAACATCCAGAGTGTTATAATTTGTGTTTTCAGCAGCGGACATATTATACATGGTTGGATCTTTACTGAACACCTGTTAGGGTGTATGCACTCAGACTAGTGCTCTGATGCCAATTGAAGGTGAGAAAACACTTAGAAAAGGGGGGGTTTGAATAAGTGTATGTTTAAAAACTTAACCCAAAAATAAATAACACAATTATTTTTATCCTGGTTCGTTGAACTCAACTACATCCAGTCCACCCGTTAGGATGATTTGCCTTTTCACTCAAGGACTTAATCCACTATAATCAACCTGATTACAATCTGCACAACCAACTGTTGTGACTAACTAACTGCACACACCTGTGTGACTAACAACTGCACAGACAACTGCTGTGACTAACAACCTGCACACAAACTGTGTGGCTAACTAATCCTGCACAGACAACTGCTGTGACTAACACTTGCACACACCTGTGTGACTAACAAACCTGCACAGACAACTGCTGTGACTTACAACCTGCACACAACAGTGTGACTAACAATAACTTCTAAGGTTGACAACCCTAGACTTCTTAGGACTTCTGATCACAACTGGATCTCCTAAGGAACTTACAATCAAATGAATATATTTGATGTTTACAGCAGTTCACAAAAGTGACTGTAAACTAACAGATTTCCTAAGACAAAAGCCTATTATAGGAAATAAAGAATATCAGCAGATGAAGTGTTCTTGAAATCTTTTCTTTTCGTTTGTTGTTCTCAAAATGTGTAACTTTCTTCAATCTTCAGACTTGACTTTTATACTCCAATAAGTTACCGTTGGGAAGGACAATCTGTCACTTTCACTGGTCAGACTTTTGGCAGTAGGTAGAACGTTGAAAGTAGCCTTTTGCTTAACATAGTACTTCTGCTTTATGCTTTTTGTCTTTGTCAGATTGACTTGACACATATTAGGTAATGGCGTGCTGCCAAGTGTCTTGAGCAGTGTGCCTGCATTAAATGCAAAGTCAGACAAGCATAATAAAATAGACTATAATACACTTACAGTGATTAAGTCAGCATTTGAGCTTGATGCTGAGATACAGTTCAGCATTTCATTCTTCTTCTGTGCTTCTGTTTCCTCATCAGAGGATGTTGTAGACAGCATCAACACTTCATTCTTTTATAGCTTTTCAGCGTCAGCACTTGATCTTTACTTCTTGCTGTGACTTCCTCAACAGAGGTTGCAGCATCAGCATTTGCTTTCTTCTTTCCTGCTGTGTTTTCCTCAACAGAGGTTGCAGCTTAAAGAGAGCGCCAGCAGTTGCTTCTTTCTTAACTGCTGTGATCCTCAACAGAGGTTGCTGCTTACAGCATCAGCAGAAGAAACTCTTCTTCTGATAGATCTTCTGAATTTTGGAATCTGCATAAGACATTAAATATCCAGTCAGAGTATCATATTCTTTTGAGAACTTTGATCCCCCCATTTTACTCTTGTTATCATCAAAACCAAGATATGCTAGCAACATTTCATGTTCTAACAACTTATAGGCTAAAGATTATTAAAAAAACATTAACAATATGTATTTTAGTATTAGTAATATATTTGATTCGAGTATTAAATGCGAAAACATTACTTTTTTATGAGAATTGTTTCCTTCATTAAACTCACCATCATCTGAAAAATGTGGTATTTATAGCTTTTTCCTTGTTTTCTCAAAAAATTAGGACATTCAGCTTGAATATTCCCAAATCATTCACATTCACGATATTGGATTCCTTTTTAACATGTTAGGGTAGTTAGAGATTTAGTTTTCATCATTTCTTCCTCGACAATGAAAGTCACCACTTCTTAGATTCGACAGTTGATTGTCTTTGACATTTGGAGAGACATTGTTCCCAGGTCTTTGGTCAAGGCATCTTATAACTCTGCTAAAATTATTTTATACCATAGCAATAAATTCAACAATATTTTCATTAGTGACATTGAATACATGGTCCTCGTGATCACTTGTATTGGTTTTTAACGTTGTTCCTTTAGTATTTTTCTCAATTTTGTCAACAATAGTCATCTCAAAATTGAGCAAATAGCCAAATAATTCATCAACCTTCATTTTAGAAACATCTTGAACTTTCTCAATTGCAGTAATATTCATGTCAAAACTCTTTAGAATAAATCGTAGAGTCTTTCTCGCAGGCTTCTCTTCAACCATCTTTTTACCAAGAGAGTTTTATGGCACCACGCTTGATACCAAGAATCATTGCCACTATTGTTATGAAAGCCACTAAAAAAGTATAAGCATTAGTCATATAAAATCGAGTAACATCAACTCCATCACCATTAAGCATGCCAACGGGGCAAGGCAAGGACATGTTTTACCTTCCCTGTACCCAAAATCGGATTTCATTTAAATACCAATTCCCAACTCAAATATAAACGAGGAATAACTAATTGAACCCAAAACACGCCCCAAACGGGTTTAAGTACCACTGCTCGTCTCATCCCCGCATATGAATCAATTTTTTAAATTGAATAGTTCATTTCTACAAACTCGTAATATGCTTCAAACTCTTACAAACATTAGAATAAATTAATGAACAATCTTAAACAATTTCAAATATTTTAAATAATAAAGTAAAAATCTAGTATCAATGTATTAACCAACCAATTAATACTCTAAATTATAAAAATAAAAAAATCCAAATTATCAACGGGGTGGATTGGAGATGGATACTAATATCCTCATTATCCGTCTTATTCCCATATTTTTAAATCGAGAAAAATTAAAACCTAAACTCAATCAAAAGGAATTTCTCCGTCAAACTCATAGAGGATTCAGATGGGTAACTGCGAATACGAGTATTGTTGTCATGTCTAATTACCATCATGTGGATAGTCTTATCTTCAAACTTCCACAACTTTACCTCCTTTCAATATCACTCACAAAATCATAAATTATTTTATGATAATCAATCTACTTGTCCACCTTGAAGTGGATAATATTAACATCATAAATTATTTTATGATAATCAATCTACTTGTCCACCTTGAAGTGGATAATATTAACATCATAAATTTCCTAGTCTTGATGCTCTTGCGTCTTTGGAGAAAGATTAGCAATTGATTTTCACAAAGACACGCTTCCACTTCACCATTCTCATTCTTGTCAATAGAGGTGAGAATATGTCTGACCGGCCAGCAAAATACTATGACTTGGCTTATTTAAATTTGGTCAGACTTGGCCTCCTTATTTGAAAGCCCGGATTTAGGTTTTTAGCAAAGTCTATTTAATTAAATAATTCAAAATTATGCTATAAAAAGCCTACAAATATGTCATTGTATATACTAACCATATTCAATGTATATTTATGTATAATTAAGTTGGATCAGAGGTAAAATGTCACACACAATGTGTGAGACAAGATGGTCTGAAATAATAAATGAATAATTAAACATACTAATAAATAAAATACATAATTTGTTAGTTCAATTCGATGCAATTGTCACCTACATTTGGAGTGCAGTAGCCTAGTTCAAAGAAAATTCGCTAATATCTTATATGAATGATCTCATGCTCATAGCCCTTTTTCTATTATTATCCATTAATTTTCCACCAAAAAGTATGTGAATCCTAGAAGATGCTTCAGGTGTAATTGATCGAAAAAGAAGAAAATATGAAACAACAGAACATGTATCAAAAAGCTGTAAACACTACCCAAAACAAATCTTGTGAGCAGTGATTTTAAGCTACACAATGAATGGTCGTGAATTACTTGTTGTTGTTACCCTTGGGTGGAAAGGGGTTGTGCCCATCCCAAAGCTAGAGAGGAACTATAGACAATTACTTGATAGAATGAGAGAAAGATCAGCTAAAAAAAACATAACCTTCCCAACCCAAGCCAAAGCCAACAACAGATCCAGCAAAAGATCACCAAGAAGACAACCACAACGACCACTTGACCACTCATGTCAATATAGCACCTGCAAAGTATTGTGTTAAGCACATACAAATATATCAGAGCTACATGAGTAATTTGAGGTTTTTTCGTGATAAATTCAACGGAAGAGAAGGAATAGAGAGAGATAAATCTAGATTCAACACCAAAACAAATGATGATTATTCATTCTGTTTGGAGGTAGGGCTTTCCTTTCAACATGATTCTTGTTCATCATACCGAGTTTAGGGTTGGCAATTTCTTCTCCTTGTTACCTGATTTGCACTCTTGAAAATCCAAAAATATCCTTAGGTAAATTCAATAATACATACTGGAACATATCTTTTTTAGAAAAACAGAGTTTGGTAATGCATATTCAAATTAACCTTTTTATTGAAAAAAAAAGATTGGTAATGCATATCCGAACTCACTCTAAGTTTAATAATAAAAAGTTTATCTCGAATGAACTCACATGATAAATTTCGGCTGAAACATTTTTCAAAACATTGACTCGCTAAACTCAATTTTTTTTTGTAAGCAAGATATATTGAAAAGAGAACAAAGGGTTCTCGACCTGATTACAAAAAGGATGGAGACAAAGCTCCCAAAAGAACTAACAAAATTATCCACCAAATACACCTACGAAAGGAATAAGATCGGATCCATAACAAAATCGTAGAAACTCCATTTGGGATGCATAATTTTGCCAATAAAGGACCACCGCCATATCAAGGATTTAATATTTCACACGTAATCTAGAATAGTCCAAAATGCCTCCTTAAAAATTATTCCATTACGTAACAACCAAATGTTCCAAGAGGTTGCCAACAAAAAAATGCCTTCTTTTCCTTTTCTCACTTTAAAATTTTTTCCAACTTTGAACCATCTCACAAACGACTCCCGAATACTATTGCAACTATTGGCGGAGATAGAATCGGGGATAACCAACCATTCCTCAATATCTTTCCAAATCAACTTCGAGACCAAACAATCAATCAACAAATGGTGCAAACTTTCTGGAGCATCCCTACACTAAACACATAAATTAGAAGACGAGATCGGGATGATACCTCTACAACTAAGAAGATCTCTCGTGGGAAGTCTGTTTAGAAAACATCTCCAACCGAAAGTATTTATTTTTAATGGCACCTCCACTTTCCAAACACTTTGAAATGCATGATCAAAAGCTTGCGCCAGACCATATTGAATGAAGGAATCCGCCATTAACTCATACCCCGAGCTGACCGAATAGCCAAGGCCCTTTCCGAGGCACGACTCATGCTCCAACATGGGAAGGAGAACCAGACTGAAGGAGGGCGTCAGACTGCACTGCTGCTCAGCAACCGAATTCTGTAAAATAGCAGGAACAAAAAAATTGTGTACAGACTGAACAGAAAAACCCGAAATAGGCATTTGTTGTCGCACAACAGTACCGTCTACAGCAGAACCAAAATTGCCCGATAATTGAACCAGAGGAACATGGACCTGCAAAACAGACAAACCGGGGGTTAGAAAAAACTGATGTTGATTGCTCAAACAGCCAACAGCGGTTGCGAGGGATAGATCAGCGCCAAACTCAATAGTGAAACAGGAATTGGGAGGCCTCCAAAACACCACATCTGGATGCCCCTCATGAATTATCACTGTTCTTAACAAATCCTTTAGCCTCATATATTCCGTACCAACCACCAGCAAACTCAAAACATCTCGAGGAACTCCCAAGTCTCCTCACTCCAACCTCCCCTCCGCGTTCCAAGTCCCCATACAAGCTATTGAAACCCTCTTCAACATGGTCACCGCAAAGACATTCACAAATTAATCCTTAAGCCTGCAATTGTTGCACCATTTGGAAAACCAAAAATCCGCCTTGTAACCATTTCCCACAATAAAAGAGATGCCCTCACCAAAATGGTCAAGCGCATTGAACTTCCCCAAGTTAATGAGGTCTTCCCACCAAGAAGAAGACTTAGAAGAATCTACATGAAAGCCTTCCTTTCCACCAAAAACCTTCAAGCAAACATATCCATATCTAGCTTTTAAAACATGAAACCACAAAGCATTACTTTCATGAAGAATATTCCATTTCCACTTGTTCAGAACGACCTTATTGAACAAGTCTATTCTCTTGATACCAATACCACCCTTGTTAAAAGGAAGACAAAGATCGTCTCATTTTACCCAATGAAGTTTCCTACTCTCCTCTGCCCCCCCCCCCCCCCCCAATAAAAATCTACCTTGAATATTAATAATCTCCTTAGCAACCTTCTTGGGCATCCTATAGAAAGACATGGTGAAAATGGAAAGGGAGCAAATGACCGACCTTAAAAGAGTGATATACCCTTCCGAAACTAAGAAACCTAAGTTTCCAACTAGAAAGTCTCTTTCTCATCTTATTGATTAACTCCAACCAAGTGGAAATACGTCTCGTATTGGAACCAATCGGAATCCAGAGGAATTTGAAACTAGAAGATTCTATCCTACAAGGTAAAGAATAAGCCGCCATGTCCAAAAATAATGGGTTCATATTGACACCAATGAGCTTGCTTTTGTTAAAATTTATCTCTAAACCGGAAACCACTTGAAAAGCCTTCAAAATAGATTTAATGGTCCGAATTTGGTTTCATCCTCCTTCGCCCACCAACAACGTGTCATCCGCGAATTGGAGAATCTCAATCTTTCACTTTCCCTTCACATCAAAACCTTTGTACAAACCGATGTCCACCGCCCTACTAACCAACATGGACAAAGCTTGAGTAACTAACACGAAGAGAAAAGGAGATAATGGGTCTCCTTGTCTCAACCCCCTTTCAACCACAAACTTTTTAGTCGGGCTACCGTTCACAAGAACCGACATCTTGCTAGAGAAAAACAAAAACTCCATCCATTTTCTCCACCCTTCCCCAAAGCCCGTCTTTTTTAAGAGAGATCTTAAGAAATTCCAATTGACTTTGTCATAAGCTTTTTCGAAATCAACTTTAAAAAGAACACAATATTTCCCCTTCTTTTTCGCAAGATCCACCACCTCGTTAGCAATCATCACACCATCCAAGAGAATTTGCGGTGCCTGAAACCTTGTCTTCAGACTCTTGAGGTTCCCACTTGTTCGCGTTGCACTCTCTTGCAATATGACTAAAATTTTGACAATTAAAGCTTTACAACTTGCTTTTTTCAAACCTCTTCCTCTCGCCTCTAAGGTTGCCTTGACTAGGGTTTTTATTGCCTCCGCTCTTAGTCATGACTATGGAGGTTGGATGTAGTGGTACGGAGGTATGAACCAGTGGCTGCCTAGAACATTATAGAAAAGTTGTCGGTAACTGATTACCCAGATCCTGTAACCGGATACAGGATGAAAAAGTGATGAGTAACGGGTTGCCAGAATCATGTAACTAGTTACACAATGACCAAAACCTAATTTTCGCTATGGGTTTAGCAGAAAAATGCATTGTTCAATGGTATTTAGACTCTGAATGTTCTACACATATGACAGTGAGAAAAACATTGATTTGTGCCATGAAGGACCAAGTAAAGTTTACGGATGATACCTAATCGGTAAAATAGCAAGTGTACTATTTTCCCAAAGTAGTAGTACGGGATAGAGTCCCAAATATCGATCTCGAGGACTATATGTCGATACAGAATTCATAGAATAGTCCAATTCAACAAAAACTATGGTTTTGAAATTGGTATTTCGAAATAGAAAATAAACTTATAATTCTGAACTAAACTGAGAAGTTGAATGAATAAAGTCGATGTGAGTAAACATGTTAGAGAAGTTGTATGATCAGATCCATTAATGATTCTTACTTAATCTTGCAACAACTAATTTTTAATCTATAAATTACTGGTTTTAAGAATATTTACCCCTAAGTCCTTAGAGAGAAAATCTTTAAACATTCAAATTAATTTCTAACACCGTAGTGAATTATATATGAATTTAAGAAATTATTAATCAAGAGCATATCGGTTTTTATATGGTACCCCCCAGTTCTATGTGTTATCTGCTATATAATGCTTTCAATTAAGCGTTAACGTTGACAATCCTTCCTAACTATTAACCGTAAGTCAATCTCAATTTTTTTGAAAGAGAAATCATTAAGCACAAATTGAAAGTAAATTGAATATAATAGAAATTATTGCCATTACAATCAAATAATAATCATTACAGATTCAAATCAGGGAAACCCCTAGCGTTGGGGGTTTAACTACTCATAGAATTCAAAGACAATATGATAAAATTGGTAAACACTGCAGATAATTTTGATGGATTAATCTTCAATGACGAAAAGCTCTTGAAGATCTTGATCCACCTTGAAAATATGAGTTTTCCAGCCTTCTAAACGTGTTTGTATCATCATGATATGAGACATGCTGAAAAATACTACATGTCGGTCATGATGTCAAACGTGCTAAAAAATTGACTTTAGGAATCCTTCTGACACTTCGTCTCGTTTATTTTTCGGTCACATCTTTGAATTCCTCTATTTATTTTAACCTACAACTGTTATAACTCCATTTTTACCCCTAATGTTTCATTCATCATGATACCTAATCATATATTCATTCATATTTCAAAATAAAAGAAAATGAGATCACAAGCTAGGAGGTCAATGATTGGTCATATGAATCCTTCTTTTGGTGCTTGTTCTCGAGATTTTATGGGTATTCTTTGATATCACACCCTCACTTCTGTTGATTTATTGATATGTGATGAAATTGTATCTCAAGTTTTCAGGAATTCAAGATTATTGAAGAAGTGTGCCCAAATTAGGGTTTTTAAGGTTTGAATGGATCTACCAATTTCTGAGGCTTGTATCTTCTTCATAAAAAATGTTATGAAGATGGTTATTGAATCTATGGATTCATCATCAAGTCAATTTCAAATCACTCAACTACATCAAAGATCAATTTTGGCTTCTAAGCCATGATTGAAGCAAAAGCCCCAAATTGGTCCCAAAAAAGTTAATTATAGGGTTTCCAACTTCCTGAGGCCATATCTTGGCCATCCTTTGGGATTTTGATGCAATTATTTTTTCATCATGCTCCAAATGATATCAATTTCAAGTGTGTGAAATTTCAAAAACAAATTCACAAGGGAAGCGGTTCAAGTTTCAATGGAGATTTCAGGCCCAAAACCCTAATTTGGTGAACTTCTGGAGGGCATAACTTCTTCATACTTTGGTTGTAGGAGCCCATCCAAAGCTCAAAATGCAAGTCTTGACATCATATATCTATGATCTTTATATTGTTAAGATTGATTTTGCTTAAATATCCTTGGGCATCAAATTCAAATTTCAGGTCGTTTTCACCTATTGGAAAATTGACCCCAACTTCAAGAGGTCATAACTCACTCATTTTTGCCCAATTTTGGTGGTTATTTTCATAAATTGAATATCATCAACTTAAGGATCAATTAATTCAACTATAACAAAGTCCAAATTTGCTTTTAAGTGGCCGAATCAAAGCCATACATTTCACAAATTTCCCAACTTCTTTGCTTCATAACTTTCTCATACTTTGGTCAATTGAGGTGGTTCTTTTTTCAATGTCCATATTCTTTCATCCTCTTCAACTTTGTAGTTGAAAGTTAAGGCCAAAAATGGATATTTTGAGGACTTGTATTTCAAAATGGATGAAAGTTGAAAAAAGTCAAAGTTGATCAAAGGTGAAATATTGACTTTTTTGCTTGAGGCATATTTTTGAAGTTTCAATGCTTCAAACACACTTCATATGATGTGTATACATGATTCAAGCCCTCAAATCTCATTCAAAACATCATTTTCTAGGTGTATGAGTGGATTGCTTGGAGAATAAGTTATAAAGAGGCATGATGTGGAAATACATGTTCCAAGCCCATTTTGAGGGATGTAAAGCTTCTAACACATCACAATTAATGTATGTGGCATCTGTTTGAGGTCCTCACCATTCAATTCAAGATAATTCTCAAGGTCATCACTTAAAACCAACTTGGTATGTTGAACAATTTCATCTCAAAGTGTCATTTTGAGATTTCAAGGCTCTACAACATAATCAATCCCTAAAACATGTTTCATATATCATTTATGGTATGTGTGGGCTTTTGAAGCATTCAAATTGGGCCTGAATTGTAAAATGGCATTTTCAATCCAAAATTCTGTTACAGCATGAACTGTGTGCAACATACCATGGTCAATTCCACTTTTCTTAAAATCCATGAAGCCAATTGAAAAAAGCCCACGTGAGTTCAAAGCCAACAAAATCCTCTTTCCAAAATGCCCAGGCTCAATCATTTCCATACACTATACATCATTTCACTAGTCATGGAAAATTAGAAAAATCAACTATAAATAAAAATTGATAGCACGATGAATTTCATTTTTACTTCATTCCAAGGCTTCAAACTTGCTAAGCACGTGTATCAAGTGATGACAAACATGACTGAAGCTTGATTTGAAGCTGAGAGCTGGCATTTGCTGAGCTGGCACCTTTGTAACTAACTCCAAAAGTTAGTTAGATTGAACTCAGTGAGTTCACTGGAATCATGGCCCAACTCAGTCATAACTCATTCTCTATATATATCTGATGCTCCTCAAATCGTTCATTCATCAAAATTTCACAAATTACAAGAAATTTTTCTCTGCAACTTTCTCTCACTTTTCCAATTTGAAGCAACATTCGTGATCACAGTTCTCTCTACTCCTCTTGATTCAACAATTCATCTCCTCAATATCAAAGATTCGTGTAACAAGCTTCAAAACGAGCATCTGATCAAGCATTTCCGTTGCAAGAAGAAGAAGTTCGTCCACTTCAAAATTCAACAAAAACTTTTCTCCTAACTCTGTTTCAGAGTTCTTCAGGTCATAATCATTGATTTAAATGCTATTTGATGATTGATATAGCTTGAACATGATCATATAAGTGTGTTTACATCATCAATTGGTTTCAATTTGTTCTGGATATGATAATCATAATTCTTGATACCGGTTAGGGTTCTTCAATTGATTGCTTCGATCTGAATTATTCATGAAACCTAAATGCATTTAGAGGTGTTCATTATGTTCATCGTTTGCTTCTGTTCATTTTGAGATTTTAATGGTGAGCTTTGGTTAAGAAATGAAGGAATACGATATTCTGGTGAGTGCTCCGGTGAGATTGCTTCTTCTCCGGTGAATTATGTTATCTTCCCTCCGTTTTGCCAAATTTTTAAATTCTAGTTGTTGATCTTCATTTGCGCGCCTTAATCCAACACTTATGATGAACTCTGAGATTTTAAATATTGTTTGATTCAATGTGCAATGTGTTTCATAAGCCTGCTTTCTAGACCATTGATCTGGTTGACTTGGACTTTATCCAACGTACCACAGTTGTTTTCGCTCTTATGCAATTTGAAAGGCCAAGATTGTTTGACTTTGTGAATTGGATGGTGGAGATCATGATTCCCCCTTGTTTTCAGTGTGCTGACACACGTGTAATACCACACACTTTATATTTTAATTCAATTTTCTTTTATTTTCATTTAATCTGAATAAACTTCAAAAATTCATAAAAAATAGTAAAATCATCCAAAAAATTTCATAAAAATTCTCACATGCTTGTTTTAATTTTCTTCATTTTATGTGACTTTTGTGAATTTTTATTTGTTGTTTTAGCATTTTTTATATATTTTGCATTTTAATTGATATTTTAATTGTTTGAATAAATGAAAAATGCATAAAAAAATATAAAAACAACTTGAAAAATTCTAGAAATATTATGTGTGGTACTTTGATATGTGTTTGATTGATGATAATTTTCTTGAAGTTCAATTTTTGTGTTTGCTATTTTTAGCATTTAAGTGTGCATAATTAGGATAGTTGAATTATTTTCTGTTTGTAAATTACTTTTAAAATACACAAAAAATGATAAAAATTCCAAATAAAATTGTGAAAACTCATAAAAATATGTAGTTTCTAGAATATATTTTTGTTGGAATTAATCCCCTGTTTGTAAATATTTTGCTAATTGTTTGTGAATATTAATTGTTTTCTGAATTGTTTCTTCATTTAATTGTTTAAAAATACC